CCTTCCAAAACACGTGTTCTTTCAAGCAACAAATATCTTTTAGTTCCCACTATGTGCCAGGCACTGTTCTAAAATATGGAACTATAAGAGCAAAACAAAGTTTCTGTTCTCCTGGACCTTACTAAGGACAAACAAAAAGCAGATAAATATATATAATATCAAGTAATGATAACTGCTCTCAAGGAAAATAAACCAGGCTAAGAGGGAGTGAGAAGGGGCTGGAGTATTTAGAAAACACTTTGTTTAACTTCTATGAGAGTGATTCTCGACTTGTGGTTCCAGAGCAACAGAATAACCTAGGAACTAGTTAGAAATACCAATTATCAGACCCCATGCCAGACTTGCTCAACCAGAACCTGGGAGGAAGCGGGTAGAAGGAACCCAGCAATATGTTTTAATAAGCCCTGCAGGTGATTTTGATGCCCTCTAACGTGAGAATCGGAGCTCCTCCTGCTTCATCTACCATGAATAGGTTACAGGTGCGGTCTAATAGACTTGATTTTTCTCAGCCCATAAGGGTAGCTTGAGGGTTCGGGGAAAAGGAGGTGCTGGGGACCCTCCAGCCAAAAGTAACCTCCACCCACGCTTTTCAGAAGGCAACCAAGTGGGGTCAGCTGGCATGCCCACGGGCCTCCAGCAAGCCATTTGATACTCACTGAATTTGCTGCGGGAAGCTGGGCGCTGCCAGGTATCGACTTCTGCCTCCGGGACCGCCCCTGCGAATCCTCGGGGGAAGTTCCCGTCTGGGTGCGCACGGAGGCTGCGCAGCCGAAAGCGCGGCCCAGGGAGGGCGGGGCAGGGAGCGGGGTTCCTGCGCGGCGCGCTTCCGGCGCCTACAGCCGCTTCTGTACCTGAATTTTCATCATTATTTTGAAGTACTCGTTAGGAAAAAGTTTGCCTGGATTTGAAATCCACTTGTACCATCAAAGGAAATATCAAAATTACATTTGTTGATGAAAGAAAAGATATTCAATTCTTTGTTCCACTGGTGTAAATTCTGTTGTAAAAATGGTTTTTAAAAGTTTTTAATCATTTCACAGTATATATATACACCTTAAATATGTACAATTCTTACTGCGATAAAGCTTGAAAATCAATGACTAAATAAATAAATTTAAAACAAAACTGTGGGGCTTCCCTGGCGTCGCAGTGGTTGAGAGTCCGCCTGCCGATGCAGGGTACACGGTTCGTGCCCCGGTCTGGGAAGATCCCACATGCCGCGGAGCGGCTGGGCCCGTGAGCCATGGCCGCTGAGCCTGCGGGTCAGGAGCCTGTGCTCCGCAACGGGAGAGGCCACAACAGTGAGAGGCCCGCGTACCACACACACAAAAAAAAAACCAAAAGACTGTGAACACGTTTCTCATCCACGGTAACAAAAATATTGAAAGCTTACCAAAAAGTCTTGATTAGGAATTTCATGTAGGCGTTTGATCTGACAGAAGGCCTAGTTCTTGAAGCCCATCTGAGGATCACCTGGCTACCTCTTAATATGGCTCAAACTGGGTCGCCTCTGACTCCACCCAGGTAGAATTACTTACCCCCTCCTCTGTGTCCTCGAGGTAACATGCAGATCTGTGGTTCTCAGCCCTGAGCAGTTTTGCCCCCATGGGACACCTGGCAATGTCTGGAGACACTTTTGGTCACTGCAGCTGTTGGGGAGGTGCTACTGGCATCTAGTAGTTGGTAGAGGCCAGGGATGCTGCTAAAGATCTTACAATACATAGGAAAGCCCCCTACAACAAAGAATTATCTGGTCCCAAATGTCAACAGTGCTGAAGTGGAGAGACCCTGCTGTAGGTCCTTCTGTCATAACATACACTCTATCACATCTATGTGTTTACATATCTGTTTCTTCCTGTTAGACTCTAAGTTCCTCAAGGGCATGTCTTACCTTTACACCCTCAGAGATGAGCAGTGCTAAACGTATAGTAGGTGCTCACTATGTATCTGTGGAATGAATTAATGAGAGAGGAGTCAAGTCAGTTTTATCTGCACCTAACAAGTGGACAACTGCATCTCCAGGCAAAGAAGGCCAGAACATAAAACACTTGAGAGCAGTATAATTAGGGGAAGTGGGTCTGACAGAGATGCCTGCAGTTATGACCAACTGCTCAACCTCTAAAAGTCAAAATCTCTTAAGTCTTCTATCCCCTCACCATCCTCCCCCGCCCCTTCATAACCCCATGTGGTCACCAAATTCTGCTGATATTCTACCTCAGGAATATTTCCTGACTCTAACCCATTCCCATTGCCAAAGTCAGCTCTCATCAGCATCACCTTCCTAGACCACTGCTGTGCCCTCCTGGTTGGTTTCTCTGCCATCTACAAATTGAGAAAGTCAAATATAACTCCCTGTAATTTCTTCCAGCTTTCAAATGATAAGATTTGCAATTTCATCTAGTGATAATGAATTCCAGTTTTTCCATTACATAAGTCATATAAATCAATATTCACTCTCTTCATTATGGATATAAAATTTCAAACCACTAAATGAGAATAAGTATATTAATTTAGAAAGCCTTGAAATCTATCATGACCTTTGTTTTAGAAACAAACTCATAGCCAGCAACTTTAATTGGTCCTCCCCCTCTCCTAGTAACTCCATTCCCACAGATGTCAGCCTCGTAAGAAACCCAAACAAGGACTAAAGCGTTAAGAGTTTAAAGATGTGTACATTAATATTTTCAGCAAAGGGATGACCAACACTTTCAATTAAAAAGGAATCTAAAAGAAAACAGCAACATCATTTTAAGAGTAGATGAGGCCAGCCAGCTAGAGACTCATGCTGCTGCCTCAGCACTCCCCAACTCCTCCACCTTCGAGATGCTGTGTTGACTTTTTTAACATGGAATGTTACACATTTTATCAGATATTGTCATTGTCATTCATAATCCCAACAGAGTTGTGTTATAAGCAAGTGCTTGTGTTACTGTTATAAATGGATATAGAAAATGAAGTAGTGATGATATAACAGCAAAGGAGATGAGAACAAGTACCCAACATGGGCTCCAACACCAAGTATGGCTTTTTCTCATCAATTTTTTTCCTACAAGAAATCCCTCTATCTTATTGGGAGACAGGGTACAGCATTTTTTATTTTTTTTATTTTTATTTTTTGCGGTACGCAGGCCTCTCACTGTTGTGGCCTCTCCATTGCGGAGCACAGGCTCTGGATGCGCGGGCCCAGTGGCCATGGCTCACGGGCCCAGCCACTCCGCGGCATGTGGGATCTTCCCGGACCGGGGCACGAACCCACGTCCCCTGCATCAGCAGGCGGACTCTCAACCACTGCGCCACCAGGGAAGCCCCCAGGGTACAGCGTTGAGAATGTCATTTGGCCAACTATTCTGCCAATTCTTGGATCAAAAATTGAGGTACAATTTTAGTTTAAGAGTTTATAGCTAGGACTCTAGATCAAATTAATTCATAACAGAATCAAAGGCTGAGAAAAAAAAATCAATAAATGCTACAGTTTCATGCTTTTCCAAATAGAGAAATCTTTTCAGGATAAAAAAACTAATTATGTTAAATATCAACTATTAATTTTGAGTGAATACTAAATAATCATGATACTTTTCCCCCTATGGGCCAAATGCAGCTTCAGAGTTTTTTTCAGTGTAGTGTTCTGGGCAGGAACTATTAATTGAGTCAGGCCCTTGAGAGGAAACATTTGTTCTCCCTATAATAATAATCAGGTTTAGAGAGTAAAAAACAAATCTATTTAAGTTACTTTATTACTAATCTTTTCATTACTTTATTCCCAGTGGCCTAGCATGGCATATATGGAAGAAAGAAATGGAATAGTTTTTCCAGGGCCAATTTGAGTTACTTCAGGTCCTCATTCTTTAATAAAACTTTTTGAGAGGAGAAAAAGCTATCACTATGTGAACTCAATAAATACTGAAAAATTTAAAGTAAGTGAACAATACAATAATGTGATCTGAGCTATCTGAGTAGAGTCATAAATCTCTACTTTGAATGGTTGTCTAGACCAACCTAGCATTCAGTGAGAAATTACTAATAGAGAATAAAAAAGAAATAGATCTATTCAATGTTTCAATTTCCTCAGATGCGGGTGGGGCAGCTACCCCAGTTTGCTGCTGGATGGAGCATGGCCAGTGAACCTTAAAAAAGCAACACTCCTGCCTTCATCAAAGAAGCATGGGAACAGAGCCTAGCCAAGGACAAAAGTGTTCCTTTCCTAAAACAGAAGTTAAATCAGATCCCTTCCCTTCTGATTCTTCAAGAAGTAGCATCATCAATAGGCTTAAGCATTAATAAAAATAATAATAAATTAGTAAAAATAAAGAAATATACATAAGAGAGAGAGAAGAGGTCTGGAGAGAGAGAGAGAGAGTGAGTTCTGGGAGAATTTTCCTCTCCTTCCCCCTTTTAAAACCTAAATGTTCCCAGGAGTAGTCAGTCAACACCTTTACCAGTGAAAATCTCAGCAGAAAGAGTAGGGCCAGGATATAAAATAAATTAGTGGAAAGAGGAAAGGTAACCTTGGGAAAATCTTAAGGGGGAAGACGGGGTTGCTTGGGGAGAAGTTTCTAATTTTACCTTAAAGTTACCCTAACTGGACGACCTTTTCTTTCCTGTAAGCTCTTTAGTCTTAAGCGAGGACCACATACCCCATTCTATACGATATTTACAAATCATAAAGCAAAATGCCATCGCACCTTCAGCGGTTTGCGGGCCTCCGTAGTATTTCAGCTCAAATTTTCGTCTCTAGAAACACATTTTAAAACGCCATAAATTGGCACATGGGTTTTCACAAAAACTCAGTGTTGAAGGTGGCACCAAGTCTCAGGGGTGGCGCGCCCTGTCCACAGCCCCCCTGAGAAACAGCTGCCGGGTTTCACCCCGAGCAGAGCCCCGCCTGCCCACCGCCCAGGTCCCGCCCCCGCCCAAGGTCATTATAGTCCCCTCGGGACGCGCCCCGCATCCCTGCCAGCGACTTTGCAGGAACTGCGCTCCTGGATTCGGTCGTTCTGAGGATGGAGAAAAGGGCTCGGAGCTCCTCCAGAGAGGCCCACGGGAGGGGCAGCGGGTCCGCCCACAAAGAGAACAAGAGGGCGAAGGCCGAGAGGGGCGGCAGAGGCCGCGGGCGCCGGGACGCCGGGCCGGAGCAGACGGCCCTCGGGCGGGCAGGGAGCCCGGGTGAGCCCCGAGCGCCTGCAGCCACCGTGGTGGACGTGGATGAGGTCCGGGGCTCTGGCGAGGAGGGCACCGAGGTGGTGGCGCTGCTGGAGAGCGAGCGGCCCGAGGAAGGTACAGCGGTCAGGCTGAGGCCCAGGGAAGGGGGTGCGGCCTTTCCAAGTGGTACCCAAGGGATGTCAATTAAGGTGCAATGAGGCACCGCACTGAGAGCTTCCGAGGCCAGAGCAGCCTGCTGGACCTGCTCAGCTTCCCAGGAAATGAAAGACGCGAGATAGGACCCACCAACCCCTCAGTGGTGGAGGCCAAAATGCATCAGAAGAAATACAAATAACATCAGCTAAATACCGCTGTTCTCAGGGGTCAGCCATGGATGGGAGGTGGGAGGGAGTGTGATACAGGTTGGGGACCAATCAACATGGTTCAGGGCAACAATGTAGCTTATTCTCCTCTCCTCATCAGACTTTCCTAAAAGTATTTTACACTTTGCAGTGATCATACTTTCTAAAAAGTAGAGGCAGCAGAGCCAAGTAGAGAAAAGCTAGATCTCAGTTTGAATCTTAGCTAACTATTTGATCATAGTCAGGGACTTAACCATGTATCAAATGGGGACAGCAATAGTACCCACCTCAGAGGGTAATTGTGAGGATAAAATGAGATAAGACACTCTAAGCACTTATCTTGCGCAAAGCCTGGAGGGAAAGAAAAAAAACACCCTTGCAAGCTAAAAGAGGCAAGTTAGACCAAAGGGAGGGAATCACAGGGAAAGGTGTCTCTTTAGCTTCTGCAGGTGAAGCAACTCTTAGGAACAAATTTATCTGCTTCCAATCCTTTCTATAATGAGTGGAAGAAAAAACTCATTACACCTTAATTTCAGGGTGAGGGAGGTTTAAAGGAAGGTAAATAAGGAATAGTGTGTTATACTACTTTCTGCTGACTATGAAATTTTAACATCTCCTGGCTACCAGCACTGCCCTATATGCTGTAGCACTGAAAGCTATGACTTGAGAAAGATTCCAGCAATTGGGATGTAGTTTATGTTGACCATGTTAATGCTGTTTTGCCTAACTGATGCCCTTTCATGGGTCAGAAACTTCTGGTCATTAAAGGGTTATTGGATTCACTGCTACAGTAGTGCTGAGGTTAGAGGTCTGTAAGTATTGTGCTTCAGACCACATCGGTGGGGTAGGGAAGGAAGGGAGCCCCATTTTTGGAGCTCCTACTGTGTGCCAGGCACATGCTAGGTGTTTTACTGAGTATTATCATTCCCGTGTCACAGATGAGAAAAAATGCTGAGAAATTAAATAACTTGCCCAAGACCTACATGTGGGAAGTGGAGAAGCCAGCATTCCAGGATAAAACAGTCTTATTGAAAAGCCCATCCTTGCAGGGTGCTGCCCCTGATTTCTGGTCATGGTTCCAGCACTGCCACCAACTAGCTGTGGCCTTGGGCTAGTAGCTTCACCTTGTGGGCCTCAGTCTGTTCAGCTATAAAGTGACTAGAGCTTCAGGCCCCCCCAAGCAATGGATGAGCCCATTAAGGATGAGACACCCTTGCTGAGCCCTTGTCTGGGAGGTTTCTGTGGCTCCCAGAGGAAAGGGGAACAGACACATCAACATCCCCTCTCCTCCTCACTAGTACCACACTCCCACAGCCAGGCTACCTAAGATGTGGGAGAAACTAAGAGAAGCTTCATTTTACTGAAATGTTGAGGATTCTCAGACTGTCGTATCTCAAGGCGCTTCCTGCTTTAACATGTAGTGTTTCACTATTCACTTACACTAAACAAATTGGATATTCAAGGAACTCATTCTAAGAGAATAATATTTTGTGAGTAAAGCTTCAAGTTAGATTTGGGTATACATATTAGTTTTCTGTTCATATCCCTAACTATGGTATGAAGGAATTTTGAGGACTTTCTTCACTTATAAAATATAAATTTTGTTGGTATGTGCATTTATTTATTTTTACTTACCATGGTTACCACTGGCAAATGAAATATATTTATAAGCTAGTAAACATGGCAATAACACTGTTATTGTTTTTAGGGAAGAATATTGCAAAAACTAATAAAATGTTGATAGAAACACCTCTCCCAAAACTGCATCTCCCAGAGTAGGTTGCATGAGAAATAAATTCCATAGAACATGAATTTGCTTGGAGAAGACATCGCCTGGTCAAATGTTTGGGAAATACTAGGTTAAACAAAGCTAAGAATGCTTCTTTGCTGCAGGGATTCTCCTAGCTTCAATATGCCAGTGACTATTGGGAAGCTCCAGGAGTGAGATACAATACACAATATTTCCTAAACTTGTTTGCTCCAGGAACACTTGCTTTGTGGAACACCCTGGAGGATTAGTGTTCCGTGGGACACCATTTAGGAACTGCCATACATTGGCATTTAGCACCGAATTTGGTTTTGTGCTGGTGCAGCTTGTATATCTGCCCTCTTCGAGTAATCTGCACATCAATTTGGTGATGACCTTTCCAGTTATTTTGCAAGCATGGAAATCAAATTTTCAGGCCTAATTAGTAATCCATTTCCTTCCCATCCCTTAAAAATAGACTTTTCACCATTTCTAATCTTTAGTCACCTTCTATTCCTCTATAAGATTTTTAAACTGACAAATAGTATCCCTTTGGCCAGTTTTCTATAGATTTCTACAGTTTTCTTGAGATTTCTATAACCATTACATTTAAATCATTTTCAGTATCCACTTCTCCTTCCTTCCTACATTCAACAAGTATTTATTGAGCACCTGTATGTGTCAGGCACTATTCCAGTCCTGGGACATGGTTTAAACAAGACAAGGCCCCAAGAAGCTTATGTCCTTGAGACTGAATTTTCCCTGATACCATTTCATTTATCACCCAAGCAACCTGAATGGCCTGAACTTCAGTTCCATATCACTTTTTTATAGGCACAAATGGGCTAATATTACCCCATATAGGTGATTTTCAAAGACTGTCTAAAGATCCACACCTGAAGCCAAAGAAGGGGCTCTCATGGAGGAATTTCAGATATTGGGGCAAGTGGTAGATGGAGCTGTAATTTCAGGGAAGATGAACCTCTGGACACATATGGTTTGAACCACTTCAAATAGAAGAAACTATGCAGAGAGGGACAAAGGGTCCTGTTTTTTCTCAAAATTATACTTCTAGAGGATACTAAGGAAATATCATCTAAGTATGGCTGTGTGTGTGTGTGTGTATGTGTGTATGCCTTTTTGGCACATGCATATAAAAGGAGCACAGCTTCTGTCCTCTAGTTGGAAATGGACAGCTCAAAAGTAAAGCCAATCGTGTCTAACAAAGTTGACAGCAATCTGCTTTTCACACTGAAAAATAAAGACTTAAATGGAACCTTTGTAATGCTAAGAGCCTTTGGAACATAAATCTATTTTGTAGCAATTTCATTGATCGTGTATTTTTAAGGTACCTATTTAAGAGGGGCTCGGATAGAAGAAGTACTTTTGTAGCAGTTACCCCTAGGTAAACATGAGTTTTAAATGACAACACCAGACATGTAAAAAAACACAGTTCAGTGCTTTTATGTTTATATGTCATTTCGTTCTTATGCCAGAGATATGAGCTATTCCGCGAGACAGTTATTATCAAATAGCTATGCAATAGCATTTCCTTGAATAGATGAGGAAACTGAGAGGTGGTGTACCTTGCTTAAGGTCATTTGGACAGAAAATGGTGGAGCCAGAACCAGAACCCAGACCTTCTGCCCAGATTCTGTGGTTGTTCCAGTGTACCCTCCACTGCCTTTCCAGGAGCCTGCTCCACCTTCCATCTGCCCACAAAGCCCTTCACACAGACCGCGTCCCCGGCTCTGGGAACTGACCACGCTGATATACAGCTCGTTCCATTATTTCCAGCAACGTCGGCAAACTGCTCCGACCCTAATACCAAGGACCGGACTAGAGGTGCTAGTCAGTGAATATGGTGAAGTTCCAATATAATTATTCTTTTGCTTTTTTTTTTTTTTTTTAAGGTACCAAGTCTTCCAGTTTAGGGGCTTGTGAGTGGCTTCTTGTCCTCACATCCCTGCTCTTCGTCATTGTGACCTTCCCTTTTTCTATCTGGTTCTGCATAAAGGTGAGATTCCATGAGGACCCAATAAGTAATTTCCTGGTGCCTCTCACTGACCACACCACGTCCACTCTCATTTCTGGGTTTTGGTACATGCTGTCTGCTCTGCATTGAATGCCCTCACTCCCACTCACCTTCCAGGAGAGCTCTTACTCTTTATACCTGCTCAGAGATAACTGTGAAGCCTTTCTTGACTCCTCCAGACTGTCATTCCCTTCCTTGTGCTCTCGTGTCATCCTACTTTCACATCAATTCTAGCAATTACCACATGTATAATATTTGTGGATACACAATCTCTGCCATTAGACTGAGAGCCCCTTCAGGACAGGAGCTATGTCTAGTTCATCTACACTCTATAACACGAAGACCAGCCCAGAAGAGGTCATGATGCCTACTCCTGACACCTCCAGGAAACTTCTCAGGCAGCTTCTATAGACCACAGATGATAATTATCTTGGGCCCACAGGTGGTTACACATGGCTGTCCCTGAAGTAAATGAAGACCTGTGTCAGTTTGGGAAGCACATACCAAGATGGAATTAGAAGTGCAAGAGATTTATGGGGTGGCACTGTCTGTGAAAGATTAAGGGGAGAGAGAATAAGAGTAGGCAGGGAAAACCTTCAGAGGATGATGCAGATCTGACACCTGTGATATGAGAAGGGGAAGGAAGGATTGGACAGAGAGTGCCTCAGACTGCGGGATACCTCTAAGAAAGTCTTGGCCAGACTGAAAGGGAACTCCAGAGCAAAGTTTGCCTCATAGATGAGTCTTACAATGGGCAGAAATGGCCAAGCCCTTGTATCCCTGCCATTCTTAGTCATTGGCCGGAGCTGTCAGGGAAGAGCATGTCCTTGGCTGGAACGCTACAGATGCTGCTGGGGCTGTGGCCGATTTCACTCCCCACACAAGCTCTCCTTCCTCTTCTTCTCCTTCGTCTTTGTGAAAGGGCGTTGGATTTTGTCAAATGCCTTTTCTTCCCCCATTGAGATGATTACATGGTATTTGCCCTTTATTCTGTTAATATGGTGTATTACATTCATTGAATTTTGGATGTTAAATCAACTGTGTATTCCTAGAATAAGTCCCACTTGGTTATGATGTATAATCCTTTTTATATGTTACTGGAGTCAAGTTGCTGGTTGTTTGTTGAGGATTTTTGCATTTATATTCATGAGAGATACTGGTCTGTAATTTTCTTGTCTTGTGATATCACTGTCTTGTTTTGGTATCAGGGTAATACTGGCCTCAGAGAATGAGTTGGAAAGATTTCCCTCCTCTTCTACTATTTGGGAGAATTTGTGAAGAACTGGTATTAATTCCTCTTTAAATATTTGGCAGAATTTACCAGTGAAGCCATCTGGTCCTGGACTTCTCTTTGTGGGAAATTTTTAAACTACTAATTCAATCTTTTAATTCTGGGTCTTTTTCATTTTTCTTTTTCTTCTCGAGTCAGTTTTGATAGTTTATGACTCTGTAGGAATTTGTCCATTTCACCTGTTATCTAATTTGTTGGTATATAGTTGTTCACAATATTTTCTTTTATAATCTTTTTTATTTCTGTAAGGACAGTAGTGATGTCTCTGTCATTCCTCTTTGACTCCTGATTTCAGTAATTTGAATCTCCTCTCTCTTCTCTTGTTCAGTCTCGCTAAGTATTTGTCAATTTTGTTGATCTTGTCAAAGAACCCACTTTTGGGTCAGTTGATTTTCTCTGATGCTTTTCTATTTTCTATTGCATTTATTTCCACTCTAGTCTTTATTTTCTTCTTCCTGCTTACTTTGGGTTTACTTTGTGCTTCTATTTCCAGTACATTAAGGTAGAAAATTAGGGTATTATTTTGAGATATTTCTTCTCTTTTGTTATAGGCATTTACAGCTATAAATTTTCCTTTAAGCACTACTTTAGTTGCATCCCATATGTTTTGGTATCTTGAGGTTTTGTTTTCATTCATCTCAAAGTGTTTTGTTTTTTTTAATAAACTTTATTTATCATTGTGTTCTGAATTTACAGCATTTTAAAAATTTATTTACTTTTTATTTTATTTATTTTTGGCTTCATTGGGTCTTTGTTGCTGCGTGCGGGCTTTCTGTAGTTGCAGCAAGCGGGGGCTACTCTTTGTTGCAGTGCACAGGCTTCTCATTGTGGTGGCTTCTCTTGTTGTGGAGCATAGGCTCTAGACACACAGGCTTCAATAGTTGTGGCTCGCAGGCTTCAATAGTTGTGGCTCGCAGGCTCTAGGGCACAGGCTCAGTAGTTGTGGCACACAGGCTTAGTTGCTTCACGGCATGTGGGATCTTCCTGGACCAGGCTCGAACCCATGTCCCCTGCATTGGCAGGCGGATTCTTGACCACTGCGCCACCAGCAAAGTCCCTCAAAGTGTTTTTTAATTTCTTTTGTGATATCTTCTTTGACCTATCAGTTATTTTAGAGTGTGTGGTTTAATTTCCATATATATGTGAATTTCCCAAATTTCCTTCTGTTATCAATTTCTAATTTCATTCCATTGTAATCAGAGAATATACTTACAGCGGTTTCAATCCTTTTAAATTTATTGAGTTTTTTTTAATGGCCCAGCATATGGTCTATCCCGGAGATGTTTCATGTGTGCTTGAAAGAATATCTATTCTGCTATTGTTGGGTGGAGTTATGCATAGCTATCTGTTAGGTTTAATTTGTTTATAGTGTTGTTCAAGTCTTTTCTTTCCTTGTTGACCTTCTGTCTAGTTGTTTTATCCATGATTGAAAGTGAGATAGTAAAGTCTCCAACTTTTATTATTGAATTGTCTATATCTACCTTCAGTTCTTTTGGTTTTTGTTTTATATATGTTGGAACTCTATTTTTAGGTACATATATGTTTACCATTGTTATACTTTCCTAACACATTGGCCATTTTATCATTACACAATGTCCCTCTTTATCACTAGTAACATTTTTGCGTGTTTGTTTTAAACTTCATTTTGTCTGATATCGGTATAGTCACTCCTACTCTCTTTTGGTTACTCTTTGTGTGGTATATTTTTTTCTATCTTTTTACTTTCAACCTATTTGTATATTTAAATAGAAAGTGTATCTCCTACAGACAACATATAGTTGGCTACAGGCTCTTCCTGAAGGGTGATCTGAGCACCTGCATGGCTGCCGTAAGGTCTGTAAATAGCTAATGAGTGATACATGTAAAAGCTCATAATGCATCAATCACAGCAATATACAAGATTAAATATGCTGTGACTACTTTGATTTGGTGGAACCAATTATTTTTTTAGATAACCATGACTCTCTAATCAAAATTCTGTCCACAGTCTCAAAAATTTTATACTTTTTCATTGGTTTCTGAAATTTTTCATTTACTAAGTACATATTTTAGAAATGTAAGTATTAACAGAAATTTTTTCTTGGTTCTCAAAGCAAAAGATTTCTGATACCTAGGATCACTCTCACACCAGGGTCTTCTGAAGACTTCATTTTAATCTCTTGGAGTGATTCAAAAGTATTAAATTTTCCTTTAGGTTATACAGGAGTATGAGAGAGTAATTATATTCCGACTGGGACATCTGCTTCCTGGAAGAGCCAAAGGCCCTGGTAAGAATGATCTTTTTTAGCCCCCCAGAGACTTGCCAATTTCTTCAATCCATGCATGTTTGTAATACAGCCCTCAGATTACATGAAGTAACTTGATTCATGATATCTTCATTTTTCAATCTGTTACTTGTAACACAGGTTATTAAGAAATTCTTCAGAGAGCATTACTACCAGGTCACAGTGACCAAGAGAGAGAGTGGATGCAAAAAGCTGAATGCCAGGGCCAGGCTGGCTGGAGTAGCAAGTAGGCTAGGACCTAAGACCAGGCACTGGTTTGAGTAGAACATGTAAGTGGTCTGAGTCCTGTGAATTCTCAGAGCAAAACTGAGCTAGTTCAGGATCCAGGGAATCAGAACACACCAGGCTAGATAGGCAAAGTTCAGCATCCAAGTAACAAATTGGCCTTCAGTTCATGGAAATTTAAGAAACATAGATTAAGCACTTCCCGTGTTTCATTGTTTAACTACAAAGGATATGAAGATGGATGAATTAGACATGGTCTCTAGTCTCTAGGACCTTAAAGTCTTACAGAGTTTGTATCCAGAAGTCCAAGCTGATTATGGGGCACAGATAGAAGTATCGTTAGTCTGAAAAGTCTAATAGTTGGGGTTTGAAGAGCTAATCCAGGAAGACATGAGAAGAAGCAAAGTCCCACTGTGCACAGATTGGAAAGGGTCCAAGTTCCAAGCCAGCTCTACAGAAACAGATAGAGAATAGACACCAGACTAGGAGACACAAATCAGTTTGAAGATTCAGAGCCAACAGATTGGTTCACACAAAAATAGAACCAGACCCTGTAGTTCCAGAACAGGGACTGCCTTGTTCTGGTTCTAGTTTTTGGTATCCTTCTCGACTGGGTCTGAGAAGGGCTAGTAGCTGGGTGGCTCCTCAGGGAGATCATGGGTGCTTGAGGTACTGCTGATTCCAACAAAGCTTTGGCTCTTGTACAAGCCTACAGTGTCTGATGGTCTCTCAGAAAATCTCAATAAATCAATCTAAAATATTGATTGCACATTGACCCTATACATTATATTGGGTGGGTGAGGACTAACTAGCCAACCAGAAGGCTGGTATCATGATGTTGCTATTCTGATTCCTTTGGGGCTCACATTTTAAGAAATACCACATGGAGGTTGCTGGCTCTAAAGTTCTTACACACGTGGATTCAAGAAATAGTTTTACAGAGCACCTAAAAGGCACTAAGACTAACAGGAATGCATAAGATGCTCTCGTTATAGAGTTTAAATCTAGTGAAGGAGACAGATGTGTAACCCAATATCTGGACAGGTCAGCACCATGACCAAGGTGACCATATAGCCCATTTTGCTAGGGATAATCCCTGTTTATGCCTGTTATCCTGGTGTAAGTCATAATAGTGCTCTCCTTTCACCCTCAAAAGTGCCCCAGCTTGAACAACAAATTATTTGGTAGCCTTAGTAACAACAAACACACCATGGGTGGAGGTGGGATATGGGGAGGTCTATGGGCAGTTGGAGGCTAAGAAAAGCAATGCAACATGCAACTTGACGCCAAAAGAGTGAACCCCAAATGGCCTCCATGCTGGCCATTCACCTGTCACTTCCCCTGCCCCCTCTTCTAGGCCTTTTCTTCTTTTTGCCCTGCCTGGATACCTACCACAAGGTGGACCTTCGCCTCCAAACCTTGGAGATACCCTTTCATGAGGTAAGCCAAGTGGTGGATTTTGCTTTCTTTCTACATTTTCCCTGGCCAAGCTACCACTTCTGGCCCAGAGGAAAATGACTATTTTTGCTCAAAAGTAGAAAAGAAAAGGAGATATGGGATACATCAAAATTTAAAACTCCTTTACAACAAAGGACACAACAGAATGAAAAGGCAACTTACAGAATGGGAAAAAAACTGCAAATACTATATCTGATAAGAGGTTAATATCCAGAATATATAAAATCTTATAACTCAACAACAAGAAAGCAAACAATCCAATTAAAAACGGACAAAGGCCTTTGTGATGGTTAATTTTATGTGTCAACCTGGCTAAGCCATGGTACCCAAATATTTGGTCAAATACATCTAGATGTTGCTGTTAAGGTATTTTTTTAGATAAGATTAATATTTAAATCAGATGACTTTGAGTAAAGCAGATTGTCCTCCATATATGGTAGATAGTATATATACTTGACTCGAATAGACATTTCAATACAGACTTGAATAGACATTTCTCCAAAGCAGATATACAAATGGCCAAAAAACACATGAAAAGATGCTCCACATCACTAATCATCAGAGAAATGCAAATCAAAAACACAATGAGATACCACCTCACATCTATCAGGATGGCTCTTATTAAGAAAAAAACAGAAACTAATAAGTGTTGGCAAAGATGTAGAGAAATTGGAACCCTTGTATACTGTAGGTGGGAAGGTAAAATGGTGCAGCTACTGTAGAAAACAGTATGACAGTTCCTCAAAAAATTAAAAATAGAATTACCATATAATCCACCAATTCTACTTTTGGGTATAAACGCCAAAGAATTGAAAGCAGGGTACTGAAGAGACGTTTGTATACCTATGTTCATAGCATCATTTTTCTTCACAATGGCCAAAAGGTGGAAGCAATCCACATGCCCGCTGATGGCTGAATAGATAAACAAAATGTATATGCCAACAATGGAATAATAATCAGCCTTAAAAAGGAAAGAAATTCCGGCATATACTACAACATGGCTGAACCTTGAGAAAAGTATGCCAAGTGAAATAAGCCAGTCACAAAAAGACAAATACTGTATGATTCCATTTATATGAGGAACATAGAGTAGTGAAATTCAGAGCAACAGAAAGTGAATGATGGTTGTGGGGACTGCCAGGAGGAGAGAATGGGGAATTGTTCACCAGTTTTCAGTTTTGCAAGATGTAAAGAGTTCTGGACACTGGTTGCCCAACAATGTGAATGTACTTAACACTACTGAATTGTGCACTTAAAAATGGTTAAGATGGTGAATTTGATGTTTTGTGTATTTTACCACAATTAAAAGTTAAATGTAGAGATAACATCTAGACTTTCCTGTTACTGATTCAGATTTATAAGCCTTTCCTAAACTCTCTCCCACTTTCAGTCTGAGGTTCTTTCTCATTCTTTCTTTTGGTAAATGGAAATGTGAATAAAAATAATATATTTTTAAAAGGCTTATTTTATATAATAAAATATAAAAAGGAGTAAAACTTATACCTAACCCTATCACCCATAGAGCTGATATTTTAGAATGTATCCTTTCAGACTTTTCTATATATGTGGTTGTAGTTTCAGACATATATATGTGTGTGCATTTGTTTGTATATATATATATATATATATCTATATCTATATATCACACCATACATACTATTTTGCAACATGTCTTTTTTCACTCAACAATCTATTGTTATCACCTTTTCATATATTACCTATGTTTCTACCTCTTTGTTTTAAACAGACACACAGCATTTCATTGTATGGATTTTACTCAACTAATTGAGTAATTGGAATTTACTCAACTAATTCCCTATTGTTGATATTATTTCTACTTTTTTTATCACAATAAGCAATACTATGAATCATATCCTTGCAGCTAAACCCTTGAAATATATCCTTGTGATTAATGTCTAAAAATGGAAATGTTGTGCACATACATCTTTTAGGGCTTTTGATATGTATCACCAAACTGCCCTCTAAATGCACACTCAATACATTTGAGCGCTTGTTTCCCAGAACATGTTGCTCTTTTAGGAGATTTTTTGGGCATCGGTTTTAAAAGACTTGATATACAATCAACTGAGTGTTTTCATGTAAGAAAATTATTCCTGATTTTTTTTTTTTACAAAAGGATTTACAACAAGATTCCTTTAAATTGTGAGTTCTTTAGTGTATTTAATACAAACTCCATAATTAAAAAAAAACACGTCTATTTTGATTAAAGGGCGAGCCTACTACTCTTTCTTCTTACCATCATCTTATGCTGAGAAAATACCCTTTGAACATATTTAGCTCCTCTATCTTCATGTGGGAAAGGAACCCAAGAATCAGGGTTGTCATCCAAATTTTTTTTCTGCCTAGGTTGTAACCAAAGACATGTTTGTAATGGAGATAGATGCCATCTGCTACTACCGAATGGAAAATGCCTCTCTTCTCCTAAGCAGTCTTGCTCATGTGTCCAAAGCGGTCCAATTCCTTGTGCAGACCACCATGAAGCGTCTCCTAGCACATCGATCCCTCACTGAAATTCTTCTAGAGAGGAAGAGCATTGCACAAGATGTAAAGGTACTTAGATGAATTTAACACCAAGTATGCTGAAGTATCCCTTTATCTTTTATTCCTTTCTTCATTGGCCATTTACTGAATCTTCCATGTGCCATGCATTCAAAGGTACCGTCCTGTAAGGAGCTGACAGTTAAGAGGTTGCCAAATTGACCCTGAGCCAATCACAGTCTCCAACCTGTGCTGATTAGTCAGTCATTGCCACAGTTTTTGTTCTCAAAACAAAAAGTGGCTTTAGACTCATTGTAAAGTGCCCACATAGCACAAGGTGGTGGGGGTGGCAGCTGGCAGGGGTGGTGGGGCTGGATAGGGTGGGTTGGTGGGACACAGAGATGATAAGGAATGCATCTTGGGACCTTACAGTCTAGTTGGGGAAACAAGCAAAGTTAGATAATGATAAGTTCAAATAAGACTTTCAGATGAAAAGAGGTAAGATGTCACAGACCCTTATGTGATTCATTACCCAATCCATCACCTAGATTTGATTGAGTTGGAATGATAGGAGGGAGAGAAAAGCAAGAGCTGCCTCACAAGCAGCAGCGTCTAGGCCGCAGGCAGCAAGCTCAGCGACCTTGCCCACAACCAGGGTAGGCATCTTCACTTCTTACCAAGACAAGTTGGCAAAGGTATTCAGAAGAGAGACGAGAACAAAGCAGCATTCTAGGCAGCTGGCCAGTCGGGTGGCAATTACCACCAGTGACGGAGCCTGTCATTGAGGCCATGAGGCACCCAAGCCCAGAACTGAGTTCGGAGGCTATGACTCGAGTCTGGCTGAAGGAAGACCTCAATAGAAGGAACTAAGGATCGAAGGCATTGATAATGATTGTGCCTGATGGGGCCTGAGCAGACACAGCTGAGAAAATGAAGTATCCAAATGTTCGTGACATGTCCAATTCATCACTGATAAAACTGGGACTAGCATCCTAGTGGAAAAAGGAAGAATTCAGGAAATAAGGGAAGCTGAAGGGAGAAGAAGTTAGAACAAGTAGACACAGGGGAGTTTCTGCTCTGGAATTTAAAAACCACTCACGTTGCTCCCCTCTGCCCTCCCTTCAGCCTCTCTTCCTGTTCATCCCTCCCCTCCAAAGGATAAAGGATAAGGTCCAGACACAACATTCAAGCTTGCCCTTGTTATGTTGAATTACAATTTATGCATTTACACATTTTTCTTCCCATACCATGAACTCCATAACGTCAGGGGTCGTATTTTATTCCTCTTTTGTCCTCAGTACCTGGCATGGGGCTGTTACACAGCAGCCAGATACTGGGTTTTTGGATGAGTGGATAAATGACCCAACTGTTGTAGCCTCACCTCTTGCTGTCCTTCCCCCAGTGTATCTAATCCTCCAGCGGACTTAGTGTTTCTCCAGTGTTCAGTGTGTCTATGCTTCCATGCCTGCTCTTAGGCTGTTCCTCTGTACCAAATATTTCCCTTTTCCCTACAGGCAAAATCATATTGTTCTTTAAGATGTCACCTCCTCTATGAAGTCTTTTTCAACATTCCTTCCTCCCATCAACCCCCTAAATTAGTCTTATCGGGGTTCCCAATGCACTAACTATTTATCTAGCCACCAAGAAGTCATCAGAAATAAGTTAAAAAGGAAAAAGAGTATGGCCCGCATATTGCTCCATGCCCTGCCCCCCTTTCCAGAACACACAATTCATTTTCTTCCCACTCCTGGGATGGGGAGGTGGGGAAGATGCGTGCCACCAACAGGAAGTGAAAGCACCTGTAAATGAATATTATATGGAAGAGAATATCATATGAGAGAGAGACTAAAGATTTTGGTTCTCTAATAAATGCATTTTAGAACAAATTTAACAAATATACCATCTCTATTATTTCCTATTGCTTCTGTAACAAATTACCACAAACTTGATGGCCTAAACCACCACCGATTTAACCTTACAGTTTTTTAAAAAAATATCTATCTATTTATTTATTTATTGGCTGCGTCGGGTCTTAGTAGCGGTGCGCAGGCTCTTGGTTGTGGCGCACGGGCTTAGTTGCCCTGCAGCACGTGGGATCCTAGTACTCTGACCAGGGATCGAACCCGCGTTCCCTGCATTGGAAGGCGGATTCACTACCACTGGACCACCAGGGAAGTCCCAACCTTACAGTTTTGAAGGCCAGAAGTCCAAAAGAAGTTTTACTGGGCCAGAGTCAAGGTGTCAGTCAGCAGGACTGGTTCCTTCTGGAGGTTTTGAGAGGAGAATTCATTTCCTTGCCTTTTTCAGCTTCAGGTGGCCACCTGCATTCTTTAGATCATGGCCCCTTCCTCCATCTTAAAAGCACAGCACTCCAACCTCTGCTTCCATCATCACACCACCTTCTCCTCTTCTGAAGCCAGATGTCCCTCCACTTCCCTCTTATAAGGACACTTGCAGTGGCTTTTAGGGCCCACCAGCAAGATCCAGGATAAACTCCCCATTTTAACAGCCTGGAACTTAATTGCATCTGCAAAGTCTCTTTCGGGGTAACACTCACAGTTTCCAGGGATTAGGGCATGGATGTCTTTAGGAGCCATTAGTCAGCCTACCACACCATCTTTAATTCCACAAATATCTGTTGAGTGGCACTGTGCAAATTAAACAACTTTTGCAAGGCCCTATAATGTTAAAAAAAACAGGGAAGTACATAATGTCCTTTCAGAAGAAATGTGCTTTCTCAGTGCAACGGCCATCGGTGCATAGGGGTGCTCTCCTCCCACCCGGAGGTTCTTACTGACATCTAAACTCTTCCTTCCACAGGTTGCCTTGGATGCAGTGACCTGTATTTGGGGAATCAAAGTGGAGAGAACAGAAATGTGGGTAGGAAATTAACCAGGAAGAACAATATGATAAAGGGAGATATTTTGGTTTTATTTAAAAACTTCTATTTGAAAAACTGTTTTCATTGAATGAGTACTGTAGCCATATTAGCATGAATTTGGAAGAAAGAAAAAAATTTACCTATTTTCTCATAGCCACAACATAACCACTGTAACATCGGGGCAAATTACTTTCATATTTCTATGGATTTAAACATTTTTTAAAGATGAAATTCACATAACGTAAAACTCACCATTTTTAACCATTTTAAATTACAACTCCGTGGTTTTTAGTATATTCACAACCACCACTACCATCTAATTTCAGAATATTTTTATCATCTCCAAAAGAAAGTCTGCATCCACTAAGCAGGAATTCTTCATTGCCTCCTCAACCCCTAGCCCCTGACAAGCACTAGTCTACTCTCTGTCTCTCTGGATTTGGCTATTCCAGGAATTTAATATAAATATTATAATCACACAATCCGTGGCCTTTTCAGTCTGGCTTCCTTCACTTACCTTAATGTTTTCAGCATCCAACCATGGTGTAGCATGAATCGGTACTTCATTCCTTTCTATGGTCGAATACTGTTCTATTTTCAGCTGGCTAGACCACATTTTGTTTATCTGCTCATCAGTTGATGGACATCTGGGTTGTTTCCAGTTTGGGACCATTATGAATCATGCTGCAATGAACATTCATGTGCAAGTTTTCGTGTGAACATGTTTTCACTTCCCTTGGGTATATACCTAGGGGTGGAATTACTGGATCATATGGTAACTCCATATTTAACTTTCTGAGGAACTGCCCATTTTTCTATCTATGTATTTTTTTATAGTTACAATCAGGGGGAAAATACAATTTTGTATCTTTCATGCAATACGTTAAGTATTGTTCTCATTTGGTCAGTTCTACCCTTTTCAAAATCAGTTCTCTTTTATAAACTTAGATGACTTCCCTCATTATTAATAGTACGGCTCTTCAAGGCTGTTCTTCATTATTGAAATTTAACAGCCGGGATTTAGATTAAACTTTAAGTGGGAAAATGTTCGTAGTATATCAACACAAAATTTGTTTCACTTGTAAAGAGAAAACCGTAACTCTACTATAGCATCAATGATAAGAAAAATCAGCATTTGAGGCACTGCCCTGAAGCTGCTCTTCCCTGCCCACTGTCTGCGCAGAGGTCGGGGGCCACACACGCTGCTAAATCAGAATTCGCTGTGCGTCATGAAATGACAGCAGAGAAGGTGGCAGGTCTGTACGAAAGCCCCGGCTGCTAAAAGCAGTGCTGCGCACCTACCTACCCATGCCCTTTCTCTTTCAGTAAGGATGTGAGGTTGCCAGCCGGGCTGCAGCACTCACTGGCGGTGGAGGCCGAAGCACAGAGACAGGCCAAAGTGCGGGTGAGCCAGCCCTGAGCAGGCCGTCCTCCTGCACAGCTGCTCCTTGAGGATCACCAGAGAATCCAAAAGAAGGCCTCCTCATGGAGAACATTTCCCCTTCGCTCCTCACCTATTCATCCAGGCGCTGGGGGGAATCTGGCTTGTGCCCACACCACTCTATTAAAATTGCTCTCCTCAAGTGTGTTAACAGCCTCCTAACTGACCAGCGTAAGGTCTCTTTTCCTGTTACTCCCTCTCTCTGAAGTTATTAGTAACAGTGACCTTCTCCTCCTTGAATCTTGCCTTCTCCCTCTCCCTAAAGGCATCTCCCCACGCTCCATCCCTCTTCTCTAGCACTGGCATCTTTCCCTGGGTAATAGCAGTCACCTGTCACCTCTAGGTTAATGACACCCCGACCTGTATCCCTAGCTCTGCACAAGCTCTGGAGGGACAACCATGATCAGGACCCAGGGCCCAATTCCCTCCACGCCAGAGCTGAGAGAAGGCTGTGCTACTCATGGCCTCTACTCAGGCGTGCCAGGGAGAAGATGTGGCTGCCGGCAGCTCCTGAGGATTGAGGTGTGGGCGGGAAGGGTGTTGGGAAGAGAAAATGAGGACTGGAGGGGAGGTGGATTTCCCTTAAAGAACAGAACGTACGTAAAGAAAAACCCCTAACTATGTAAGAGGGTGGATAACTTTGGAGCTTTGATGGAGGAAGAAGGCAGTCCTCTGGGCAGAGTTGCTTCTAGATCTCTGAGTCCAGTGCCCTTTGCCCACTTTAAGGTGACAGTTGGGTGGTGAGCTTCATGCTTTCTCTTCTGAAATGCTAACCTGAGCTGGGAGTCATTCTTTCAGGATTCCATGTCTTTGCCTGGAATGCTGGCCAACCTTTCCTCTAAATGGCAAAATCCTACTACTCTTCCAAGGCCCACCAGACATAGTAACTCCCCTAACACTTCCTCTATACTTGTCATGGCCCTTAAAAACTTCTACCCTAAATTACAATTAACAGTGTAATCTCCCTGCCTAAATCAAGATCCTTAAGAACAAAAGATAGTCTGCTCACCTGTCACACAGTAGATACCAGTGCTTGTTTGTTGAGTCACACTAAGTAGGATTAAAACCTTCATGGAGTGAAGAAGAAAAATCACTTTGCTTTTCTTCACATCCCCTGTCTAGATGATCGCTGCGGAAGGGGAGAAGGCTGCGTCCGAGTCCCTGAGGATGGCAGCCGAGATTCTATCGGGCACTCCAGCTGCTGTTCAGCTTCGGTACCTCCACACCCTGCAATCCTTGTCCACAGAGAAGCCTTCCACAGTGGTTTTACCTTTGCCATTTGACTTGCTAAATTTCCTGTCTTCTCCAAGCAGTAGAACTCAAGGAAGCATCCCTTTACCAAATCCTTCCAAACCTGTTGAGCCACTGAACCCTAAAAAGAAAGACTCTCCCATGTTATAGGAGGAAACAAGGATAATGTGACTGCAAGGAAGGCTGCCATATAACAGCTACAGCCCTAAGCAAGGCCCCCTGTCCTCACTTCCTGCCCTTTGGTTGCCATGTGGAATGCCCTTGGAATGTATGAAGTCACAATGCAGCAACACACGAGAAGACAGTGAAATCATGTAATGACAGAGAAGCCATATAACATGCTTAGGTGGATCATCTAACCAGAGTAATTATGGGAAAGAGCTTTAGCCAGCATTCTACTTTGGAAAGAATTTTGAGTCTATATGTTGCTAAATTTTGACTTCTGAAGATGTAGTTCAAACGTCCTTTTCGCTGTATGCCCTCTGGCCCCTTTGGCAAGGTCTTTGTTGCTCCCACAGCCCTTTCTACATGTCCCTATCATTATGCTTATCACACTCTGTTGTAATCTTGAGATGCAGGCTTCTCTCCAACTCTCCACGCAAGTGACACTTCCGTGTTTCTGAGTGAATGAAAGAAAAAGAGATGTACTTGGGCTGGATATAAAATTTACATCTAATTAAAGAACTTAAAAGGAATTATTTTTATAGAGACTCTTCTTTTAAAATAGAGAAATAAAAGGACAAAAACATTTATCTGGTACATGTGGCTTAAAATCTGAGGAAGCATCACGATAAATATGGGGCTGATGTATTTTCAGGGTTGGCCCATACCCATCCCAGTGTACTGGTTTATTGGAGTTAAGGTGGCATCAAGGGTTGCTGGTCACTTTTCACCCCCACATGGATGGTTCCTGATTTCAGGTTGGCAAATGTTGGCAAGAGCAATGAAGGAGGAGGTAGGGCAATGCTGGTTCAGGCATAACCAGAGGCAGGAAGAGAACAATAAGTGAATGCCAGGGTAGTAATGCAACAATGGCCTTTATGACCCTTAATAATTCCTTATAGCAAGGTTCTTTTTGTCAAAGGCAGATTTGCCTATATATCTGAGTGTCTGTGGTATCACCCATTGGTTGGTCTCCTCTGATGTCTGTCTCTAGTCAACATTTAAATTGCTCATTATGTTGCAGAGGCACCTTCCAGATCTGCTTGAGTAATCTATGGTATCTTTAGGTACTTCCCAGCTGTTAAGGTAGGAGGGCTTAATGGGAAAGAATAATGGGGATAAGCTGCTATGAAACTGTGTGCTAGGTGAAAGGGTATAATGAATAGTCAAAGGCAAATTCTTCACAGACCAGTTAGGTGAGTTGATAGTGTTGTCCACAAGGTCCTAGCAGTAGAAATCTTCTCTTGAGACCCAGGTGCTGTATTCCAACTGGTTACTGATTTTGAAATGATAGGTAGAGAACAAACTGAACAGTATAATCCAAATCTAGGATACATACTAGGGATACATACAGTTTTTCGCTGGAAATTTACTTTAACATTAACAGAGTGGCAGTGTCTGAGTCAGTTCAGGCTGCTATAACAGAATTCCATAGACTGGGTGGTTTATAAACCACAGAAATTTATTTCTTACAGTTCTGGAGCCTGGAAAGTATAAGATCAAGATGCCAGCAGATTTGGCATCTTGTGAGGGCTCACTTCCCGGTTCATAGCCAGCCGTCTTCTCACTATATCCTCACATGGCGTAAGGGGGAAGAGAGTTCTTGGGGGTCTCTTTTATAAAGGCACTAGCCCCATTCATGAAGGCTCCACCATCATGACCTAATCACCTACCAAACACTAATACCATCAGCTCCTAATACCTACCTCCTAATACCATCACACTGAAGGTTAGGATTTCAACATATGAATTTGGGGGGTGGGGTGGGGGGAGGACACAAACATCCAGTCTATTGCAGGCTGTAAGCTGATAAAAGAGATAACATATTCTAACTTGGTATTGGAGTACACCACAACAAAACAACATGGTTGTAAGAGTGGAACAAGTCTATGACAATGGTATTCCAGGGCATTTGGGGATTGACAGTGACTCTGGTCTAGACCTGCATTTATTGCGCAGGCATGGGACTTAAGGGCTGGTGTACTGCAGGTTGTTGGACTCCAAATCACCAGAAAGAGGTCATCCTTTTTTACAGAACTAGAACAAATAATCCTAAAATTTACATGGAACCACAAAAGACCCAGAATTGCCAAAGCAACCCTGAGAAAAAAGAACAACGCTGGTGGCATAACCCTCCCAGACTTCAGACTATACTATCAAGCTCCAGTAATCAAAACAGTGTGGTACTGACACAAAAATAGACACATAGATCAATGGAACAGGATAGAAAGCCCAGAAATAAACCCATGCACCTATGGTCAATTAACCTTCAACAAGAGAGGCAAGAATATACAATGGGGAAAAGACAGTCTCTTCAACAAGTGGTGTTGGGAAAGCTGGACAGCTACGTGTAAATCAATGAAATTAGAAAACTCCCTCACACCACATACAAAAATAAAGTCAAAATGGTTTAAAGACCTAAATGTAAGACATGACACCATAAAACTCCTATAAGAGAATATAGGCAAAAAATTATTTGACATAAATCATAGCAATATTTTCTTAGATCAGTCTCCCAAGGCAAAAGAAATAAAAGCAAAAATAAACAAATGGGACCTAATCGAATTTAAAAGCTTTTGCACAGCCAATGAAACCATCAACAAACTGAAGAGACAACCTATGGACTGGGAGAAAATATCTGCAAACGATGAGACCAACAAGGGGTTAATAACCAAAACATTGAAACAGCTCATACAACTCAAAAACACAGAGAGGGTCATCCTAAAGGGGCTTAGCAGGCCTACCTTAGAACTTCAAGGGCAACCCCAGCTCACCAGCATATCAGGGTAATGCTGGAGCTCTGCAGTTTGGACTCCCCTATATCTGGGAGGCCTAGCAGGTCATTCTGCCAATGCCTCTGTGTTCCATATTCTTGGGGATCATGTCTGGATGATAAAGTATGTTCCTCCTCATTAGATTGCTCCTGGCTGCTACAATGTTCTTTGGCAGAGTCTATCAGGACTGTGCAGGTTCTGATGTCCTCTAGAATTTTGGCTTGTGTGTCAATGCCATTGCTGAGTATTTGAGCTGAGCAATAAGTAGAGAATGTAGAAGTCAAATCCCTTCAAAGAGGGTTCATCAACTGCGCTTCTAGCTTTTCCTGAACTTGGAGAGGAAAAGTAGCACTGTAACTGAGAGCTTGGACCCTGCTGTCAGATATACCAGATTTGATCCAGACTCTGTAACTTATTAGATGTTTAACCTTGGACATGCAACTTATCCTGACATAAATGGGGATAAAAGTAGAACCCACCTCACAGAGTTGTTGTGACTAAATGCGATAATACATGTGAAGTGCTTAGCACAGTGCTTACATGAGATAAATGCTCAATAAATCATGACTATTACTATGTTTCTGGTTTTAGCCCAGTAGCTCTAAATGACAGTAATTGGGCTCATCCAAATGGGAGCCTGGCCTCGTATACAGGTTGTTGTCCCCAATGCTTCAAAGGTAGCCCCAATGGCTAGGAGCTCCTGTCCCCAGGGTGGTTGTTCTTGGACAGAACCAGATTAAGAGGTTGTATATGAGGTCTCCTGTATTAGAATCCTCCCCACAATATTTCAAGCATTTGTTTCAAAGGTGTAGAGCTCTTTAGCATGATAGTAAAGCAAAATCTAGACAGAAGAGAGGAGTTTCTTCTCTTGATGACCAATAGCTCTGGCCAGAAATCAGATACACTCTTCTTTCTTACCTGGGTTTGACTATTTGGGTGGCCAGAGTGGAAAATGGGAATGGATTACCAGCTGTACCTTGTGAACTTCAGGATCTGCTGGACATCTGGGATGGAAATATCTTGTCTGCCAAAGAGCAGTTTGCCTTGGTGAGACAGATGATGGGAACTGTTAATCTTATCTTCAGACTTTCAAAATTGTTTCTCACAGCTGGCCTAGAGATAGCCTGAAGTATGCCTCTGTCAGATCAGGGGCTCATGGAACCCAACCCCTGCAAGTACAAGAGGATGCCCTCCAAACAAAAGCCACTGCAATCCAGAAAGGCATGCAGGAGCCCTTTCATCAGCCATTCCAGAACAACAGGAACACTGCCCAGGCCAAATGACATTGCTGTGTACTGGGATTGTCTTGGGAGTGTCTGGAAGGCTGCCTTCACTGGTCTTGCTCTCAGATGCACCATCTAAGAAGTCCTGCTTTCTGAAAAGCTGTACGTGGCAGAGCCCATCTTTGAGGTCAGGGGGATTGGTGGACTTGCTCAACAGTCCTGAATAGGAGATTGTCTTAAGGCTGTGGCAGACCTGGCTGGAATGAACTCTCCATTCTCCTGAGGCAGAGGTAGAAGTCCTGATGAATTCTAGACACTGCTTCCCATCAATATGGCTACAGATGACCTCAGCCTCAGGCACAGATAGCAAGCACTCCTGTTTTGGAGGTATGCAGGCCCTAGGCAACAGGGCTACAGCAGTTAGACTCCTAATTTTAGAGCAGCTCCTCTGCTTCCTGTGGGAAAATGTTTGCTGGTAGGTGGCACACTTATTTAAAATTCCAGAAGTGGGCAAATAGTGCTCTAGAGATTTGGGGCCTACAAGCAGAATTCTCAGCAGTCTTTGAAAGTGAAATGCAAAATGTAGGTTCCCCAGGCAATATCAGAGTCACTGATCTCCAGCTAGGAAAGGCCAAGAACAAGAGGAAAGCCCAGTCAATGTGTGCCAGAAAGCACCTGACAAGTGACCTGACCACAGTCAAGTCAGTAGGACCATAGCATAGGACCAGAACTCTTGGGAGAGAATCACACAGTGCCCACATGCATGGAGTTGGTCTGGGTGTGTGATGAAGAACCAGGCCTGGTGAACTGGGGACTTGCTCCAAGTTCTAGGATTCCTAAGACACTACCACCTCGGCTTCCCAGGGACGTGGACCACATCACCACTGAGCCTGGGGACTGGGACCCAGTGGAGTGTGATGAGGCACCTCCAGTCAGCACGGCTGTCTGGACATCTGAACACAGAGTGGCTGGTCTCCTTTAACACAAGCACAACAGCCTCACCTGGCAGCCCCACTGACAGAGAAGTGTAGCAAGAGCTCCTCTCTCCACTCTGCTCAGGAGATCACCTCAGGGTGATCTTGAGGTGTGGTGGGACTCAAGGACTATCTAAAACTTCCCGCACATCAACTACTTGGGAAAGTGGAGCTGCCCATGATAACTTTCAGGGAGCAGCAGTGCAGAGGCCTTCTCTGTAGCATACTTTTTTTTTTTTTTTAACCACCTAACATTCAGGATGCCTTCCTACCAGCATCCTGATTCTCTTTGGGCATTTCCTTCCCCCATACTGTGTTCTATCTTGGTGGAACAGCAGAGCAAGGTGTCCTTGCTTCCCTTTAAGGAAGCTAAAGAGATCCCTGAAGTCTTCTCACCATCCCGGGTACATCCATGGGGTGGTCTGTGACTACGAGGTAGCCTTTCTCCCTCACGGGACTTTAAGAATAATGTAAGGATGGAAGAAATGACTGGTGTTCATTTGGTGGTAGCAACTGGGTGAGATGGTGAAGCAGTTCTTGCTTCTGAAATCTAAAACTACCTCAGCCTATCTGTTCCTAGCCTGGTTCTTTAAGACTTTCCTTCAATCTCCTGAGCTCCCCAACGTGCTTTCAATAAATTATCCTTTCGCTTGTGGTAAGAATGGATTTTTGTGGCTCACAACCAAACCACCCCAACTAGGTCTATGGTACCAAACATCTCATTCTAATCGTAGTGGCACCAGGCATAACTCTGACCTTTAAGACAGCCTTCCACCCGATGGAGCGGACACATTCTGAGGGGCAAGACGCTCATGTTCAGGGACGGGGGCTGCTGATTTGTATGGAAATGATGACTCATTCCTACAAAGTAGGAAATGAATTTTTTAAAAAGTAGGCTGAAATCCCACTAAAAAGCCCCAAATTTGCTAGAATCACTCAAGAATCTCTTCAGGAAAGTGAAAAGGGTAGGGCTGGCTCTGCCCCAGCAAGTGGTAACTGGAAGCACGAGCCAGTAGCCTGAGCTGTGGCTTTCAGTTGGGCCATGAGCCCAGTCAGCTCATGAAGAATTTCATGTTTTCTTTCCCCAGAATTAAGAAGTCATCCAGTAGGCTTAGACTGACCCCAAACATTTTTGAGACCCACCTCACAAACACTTTGATATATGTGGGCCAAGGCGGGCCTGACCAGTGGTTGGGCTTAAACAGGGCTGAGGACTCTGGAGTCAGAGGGTTTCTGAGGTTCAAGGAGCAGGCAAAGGCCTACAATTCCAGGAGATAAATCCAAAGGAACACCAAATATGCGGAGGCAAAGCAGGTGCAGAAATCTCGGAGGTGTTTGGAGCCAGGGAGAGATAAAGCAAATGCAAATGAGCCAGGAGCAGTGAAGTAGGAGGGGCCCCTGCTGAGCGACTGCCCAGACGGCAACTTGTCATTTGCAACATATGTTTGCAGCTTAGTCCATCCCTAAGCCTAGATGCATCCAGGGTCACGAACAGAGCAGATAAATGAGGCAATAAAAGTTAAAAATGGAGATTCTGGGTGAATCTTCAGCAACACTAGCCCCTGTGAAGGAAGCCATCCGAGCAATGGCCTGGTGGCCCATCGCCATTGTCAAACAATCCAGACACAGGTCCAGCAAGCTGGGGGCTCTGGCACCAATCAGCTCTGTGACCCTAGGGAGTCTTATACCCATTTGGGGCCTCTATTTCATTCTGAGAAGTGGGGATAACAGTGTCTCCTCCACCTACTTTGCAGGGTTATTGTGAAGGCCAGATAAATCTTCAGAATGCCTGAAATAAGAAATCTGAAAATGCTGCAGAAACCTAAGGGCATTATCAGGATCCTCTCTCTCTCTCTCTTTTTTAAAATTTATTTTATCTATTTATTTTTGGCTGCATTAGGTCTTCGTTGCTGCACATGGGCTTTCTCTAGTTGCGGCAAGTGGGGGCTACTCTCTTCATTGCGGAGCACGGGCTCTAGGCACGTGGGCTTCAGTAATTGTAGAGCGTGGGCTCAGTAGTTGTGCCTCGCCGGCTCTAGAGCATAGGCTCCGTAGTTGTGGCGCACGGGCCCAGTTGCTCCATGGCATGTGGGATCTTCCCGGACCAGACCTCGAACCCATGTCTCCAGCATTGGGCAGGCAGACTCCTAACCAATGTGCCAACAGGGAAGCCCAGGATCCTCTCTTTAAATTGAAAAAATAATGCTTTTTATTTGCCACTCTTCTCTGCAGAGTTCAAAGTCCTCAAAAAGCATTATTTTCTTGACAGAAACTGATACTTTTCATAGACTTCTGCTGGGAAATCAATTGAAGAGGCTAGAAAACCTTTGCACAGCCTATTTTTAATCTTGGAAATAAGCTAACACACCGATTCCTTACAGCCATCACTGTGACTTTTAAAGAGAAGATGTCCCTGAGTTGTCTGTCATGGCTTTTCTGGTAGCTGTTGCAAAGGGAGTCACTTCAATCAAGCCACAATGTCAGCTCAAAAGTGCAGAGATATCTGGGGTGGGTACAGTGACAGAAGCCATGGTGAAGCCTAGTGTCCTATGTTTGCTATTTGGATTTCATCCTGTAAGTGATCTTAGTCCGAGTTCTGGATTTAGAACCCTCCTTGCGCTGTACCTCTGAAAAGACAAAAACAATTATTGTAGTAACAATATATTTACTAAGGACTTTTAACTTTACAAAGCATTTTAAAAATTCTGTTCTGCATGAGTAAGCCCCAAGCTACAAACTATTTGCCCAAAACTTGACTCTACATTGGTTTTTGGGATTGAGAATGCATTTTCTCAAAGTTTCAGTGTAGTCAGTTAGTGGGTCCTGGAAAAGAGTAGTATGTGGTCAAGGGGAGAAGAGAAAGAAGAAGAATATTTCTTCTTTCCAGTACATACCCCAAGCTTGGTGGGAAAAAAAAAAATTCAAATAGAGCTAGTATCCAGAATCCTCCCAAATCCATCACTGTAGCCCTTTTGTATCTCCTGGTCCCTCCCTCCAGTGTCCCGTGCACAGACCCTACACAAGCCCCACCCTTGGGATGGGTGCAGGAGGACTTCTGCTGTCAAGCCTGCTCTCCCTTGCTGCTCCATGACACCAAGGTTCTCAACTGGAATCCTTCCAACTGGTGCTGCCACCTTCATCCCACATTTGACAGTCACCTTGTTCACACCCTGTCTTGCCCCCATTCCTAAATCATAAGCCTCACTTTGATCAGAGACTAAGCCATATTCATCTGTGTAAACTCCCCTCTCGATTCGTTTCTTCATTAATAACTCAGAACACAGTGATTTGCTAATTGTTAAAAATGACATAAAACAAAAATAAATGTCTTCCTACTCTATCCAAATCTCTTTACTCAGCATTCACAAGGCTCCTACCTTTGCCATATGATTTTCCATTCCTTCACTGCACAACTATCAGGAGAGAAGTGATCTCCCTGCACTAACTCATATAAATATGACCCAGTATATGCCATATGCATGTCAGACTGCTCCAGGGGTGTCTGCATTTTTTAAAGGAGCTGCCTGCTAATTCTAAGAAATGTTTAAATTGTGGGTTTTTCGGAGAAATGTTCAGGTCACCGCATGGCATGGGGATTGCCTTGCTTAGCAGCCAGTTCCCCTAAGCTTTGCAAGGCTTCTCATCCTCTACTTTTGAGCCCCTGGCAATGACTTTGATGAGGGTGTGGAGGAGGGGAAGAGCGGCAGTAACCTAAACTTGTGTAGGTTGTTTGCAGATTGGGGCCTAACTGTATATCGTTATCCTCTACCTAAAATTATTAAAACCTTTAAATTCTGGATTTAAACTAATCCCCAAGACTTTTATGGAAATGGACAAAACTAAAGTCACTCATTCCATGTTGAGGTAACCGCTCTAGTTTAACACATAGACCTTTTGTGTGGTTTGCATACAGTATTTAGTTTTCTGTAAACTGGAAAAAGTCTAGTTTCCAGATTATCAGGATAAAATTACACCACAATAGGAGAAGATACAATTTTTTTTTTTAATTCATGAAAACTCCCTCACATATATTCAGACGTAAAGCTGAAGGATTTTTACACCTGTAATGATTAACATTTTACCAGTTCAGAGTTAACAGAAGGGGAGAAAATGGGCTCACACTCCTCCTCCAACACTGATATGATATACCATAGCTGGGCCAGAGACTGTGAGGGGTTGGCTAACTTACTGCTTTTGCTGGGGGGGCATAGGTAGAGACAGGGGTGACAGAGAAAACAGAAAGTAGATATCTGCCCAGTACTACCCCTGGCACCAGGACTTGTCCTAGGAACTGACGCAGGTTGAAGATGAAAGCAAAAATCAAAAAATAGCCTCCAATATTGGGGATATTAAGAACTGCTTGAGGGCAGATTATAGATTAATTACAGATAAGAAAATGAAGAGTTAAATTCCTTTTCCTATAGAATAAAGAAGATTATTTTCATCATAGACAATCCACTAAGTACTAAAAACTAAAGACAAAATTCCCCATAAACCTCTATCAACCAGAGACAATATATACCAATGTTTGGGCATATTTTGTTCTGGTTTTTTTTCTAGCTTTAAAATATTGTATCATATCCTGTTTCCTGCATTTGATATTTTAACATAAGAATTTCTCATGTCATTACAAATTCCTTGCAAATACCATTTTAATGGTTGTATAATATTCAGGTATTTTAACGTAGCATAATTTATTTAATCTTTCTTCCATGATTGGAAAGGTAGGTTATTTTCATTTTTTCTTCTTAGATACAATGATACACTGAACATCTTTGTGCATTAATTTTTGTTTCTGTATTTAGGATTATTTCCTTAGACTAGATTCTCAAGAGTGAAATTATTAAGTCAAAGTATATGTGTATTTTTAAGGCATATCCATACATACACTCAAATTATTTTCTGAAAGAGCTATATCTGTCTGTCCACCCACAAGTATTATTTGTAAAACTAATTACTTTGCCCCTTCTGGCCAGCATTGTATTCTTTGCTTTTAAAAAGCTTTGCCAGGGCTTCCCTGGCGGCGCAGTGGTTGAGAGTCCGCCTGCCGATGCAGGGAACGGGGGTTCATGCCCCGGCCCGGGAAGATCCCACATGCCGCGGAGCGGCTGGGCCCGTGAGCCATGGCCGCTGAGCCTGCGCGTCCGGAGCCTGTGCTCCGCAACAGGAGAGGCTACAACAGTGAGAGGCCCGCATAACGCAAAAAAAAAAAAAATCTTTGCCAGTTTTATAAGTAAAAATTGTATCTCATGTTAGTTTATTAGTTACCATTGTTAGTCATTTGGTTTTCCTTTTTGTGACTTGTCTGAACAAGATAATTATATAATTATATGTGTGCCCATTCCTAGGAGAAGTACGAACTAGTAGATCATCACTAAAGATATTGATACTCTTCTAAAATATTTATGACCCAATCAAATTTTTGCTCATAAATACAACCTAAATAAAGCAAAATGAGAAAGCAATCCTCACCTTTCTTTGGAGATTCTGAGGCTCTTTCTACTAGGCTGATTTCTTCTTCTTCTCTTTCTCCTTCATTTTCTTCTTCTTCTCCTTCAGATTCCTTCTCTTTATACTTCATCAGTATTTCCTCTAGTTCTTTCTCCAGTTCTTTATTTCTTATAAGGGTATAATGAAGTTTTTCATTCGCATCATCAAACTTCTCCTCTGCTTGTCTGGCTCTGCTTTCAACCTCTCTGATGTGGACAAAATCCAGAGAAACACAATGAAATGGAAAGGTTTGGAAAAGTGCCTTTCATATCTAGAAACTCATTATCCAAAAAAGGCAGTGGGATTAGAAGAATGTATCTAAACAGTACAAATAAGGGAAGCAGCAGCATCAATGTTTAGCCAAGAATTGGGGGCCTAGGAGCTACTCTGGATGGTAATGTCAGAGTGCAGACATGGTGTGATTTAAGAATACAATATATTTATCATTTCTTAGTGAAATCTGACTTTTGGGTATTTGGAATTCTCCATCAATAGCCAAGGAACCCCTTTTCAGTGGTTAATCTTGGCTTCTCTTTATTGATGTGATCCAACAAACAAATAAAATAGTGTCCCTTCTTTTCCAGCACCTTTAAAACCAGATCTTACAATCAAGAAAACCAGTTTGAAGTGTGTTTCTTAATTACTAGGGCGCATGTTATATGTCTATATTCTCTTCTCGTAGCATTCTTAGCTATTTAACTCTGTTGTCATTCCTACAATTTGGGTTATGTAACCTTCTTTCCTGCACACAATAGCTTCTCCCAGTTTCATTTATTTCTCTAGTTCATCTCTTAGAAACATACTGAGTTGGATCCCTCCTAACACTCTACTCCCACCCCAGATATACACATACACACTTGACTTCCTCCATCTTCACTGTGGCTGAGGACAGATGTCCCTCCTGGAGCAGTGTAGTTCACTGCCTCTAGCAGAAGATTTGAAGATACCCATCCCACTTGTAAGGAAAAAGGAAGCAGGAGAACCAAAGGTAAGCCAAGAAGCGTGCATTTCTCAGCTAGACCTCCTGGTCAGCGATCTTTGTCTTCTTACCATTGTGGTGTCTCATACTTACATTAACTTCTCCTGCATGCGTTCAATTACAGCCATTGTTTCAAGATACCTTGGGGCCAATGTACCTTCATTAGCTGATTCTCTCTGACAAAGAAAGTATGTACTATGAATGAACTGAGAGTCCCAAAGATGAATAGCCTCTCTCTTCAGTATGTTCTGGACCAAGCCTTCTTTTTCTACTATTCATGTTTATATATCAGATGATTAAGCACACTCTTTTTTTTTTTTTTTTTTTTTTTTTTTGCGGTACGCGGGCCTCTCACTGTTGTGGCCTCTCCCGTTGCGGAGCACAGGCTCCGGACGTGCAGGCTCAGCGGCCATGGCTCACGGGC